TGTGTGTATCCTAGGCACAGGGAACTGGAGAGAAATATTTTGTATTTGAAGCCCCGTGGGACAAATCTGTGCACGTTTCTTAGAACCGAAGAATTTTCAGGATTACTTCCAAAAGCCTCTAATAAAAATTGATAAAACTTTTATTCTGGAAGATAACAACATTTTTATATTCGGAAAATATCGTAGTAAAAATTGAATTTACTGTACTGAGACATTTACATGGGAGAGGGAAGAGAGAAATATTTGCATTTGAAGCCCTGTGGGACAAATCTGTGCACGTTTCTTAGAACCGAAGAATTTTCAGGATTACTTCCAAAAGCCTCTAATAAAAATTGATAAAACTTTTATTCTGGAAGATAACAACATTTTTATATTCGGAAAATATCGTAGTAAAAATTGAATTTACTGTACTGAGACATTTACATGGGAGAGGGAATCGGGGAGTGTGTAAAAAATAAGTCAGTTGTCGAACCCTGAGATCATTCAGGACGTGTCTGTTTTCCATTTATAGATGTCAGTAAACCCGGTGTCACTGTCAGGACTGCCGCTACATTTGTTCAAACCCTCCAATCTAGTTTTGAGTCTAACTAGGTTTAACACGTTAAACGAAAAAATCGGGCGGATTCACGCGAACCTCTTTGACAAAGTCGGGAAACGAACCGCTCCGTTCGGCTCATTTATTTTTGGAATGTTCATAGATCTGATTGATCCACCGCTTGTTTTGCTTCGGAACCAGACCGGAACGAGGCTGAATGTGAGAATTGAATGAAACCAGCATCAAATTATCATTGTGAATCTTCAAACTTTGATGAGTACATCCGTTTAGTAAAAAACAACAACGATTTGGCAGTTGTCTGGGGTCGAGTTCGAATTTTTTCAAATATTTCATGCTAAAACGTTGAGAAGCACCTCACAGTTGCTTCACGCTTATTAGGAATTATTAGCAGGGTGTATCGTACCAGGGCGATTCAAACTCGCATCCTGCCTGCTAGTAGTTGAAGGCTAAGGCACTACGATCGACTGGTCGACACTGTGACCAGTGTACATCACCACTCATACTACCGCCATAGGATGCAAATCACGTGGTGACGTGTTGATTGCTTCTCGAGTGACGCGTAAATTAATCCTCAATCCGATTTATTCATATTTTTTTGATAGTATGGAGAGACTGTGAAAATCTATTAGATATTTCTTCTTGCATCAAATTAAGTCTATGCTGAAATGCACTGCACGATTATTTCATCCTTATTGAGGATCATTATCAGTGCTTCAGCTAACAGCTGGAAAGTCGCGGAATTGAGTCGCTCTGGAAATTCAGAAACTGGGATGATTCTCAAAACAGACCAAACTGCTGGACAGTGCTCCTCGGCTTTTCAGCACACACTGATTGCACTTTCAAGATGATTCCAAAGTAAGACTAATAAGAACGTGCCAAAGCTTTAATGTATACGTTTATGCATTTGGACAATTTGTACGGTAAACTATTCTGCTTCGCAAAGGCCAAAATTTATGCGAAATAATTTCATTGGGCGCTTTGACCGCGCCTGGTATACCGTTCCAGTGTTAACACCCCGAAAGTGACTACAACCTACCCGTTTTCATAAACAGTTCTGCTGAAACCTAACACTTTTTTATTCGTCCAAGCTCTTAACCAAAACAAGTTGCAAGTGAAAGCATTGCCACCAAGTTAAGCAATCTGACTGTGCCAAGGAACGGAAACATCTAATCAAGTTAGCAGTGCTATTTATCTAACAAGTATTTTACAATAGCAACAGACGGTTGAGTTTTCGGCCCCGTCGTTTTCATTTTTTCAAGCTAAAATTCGAAAGCTTCTGGTTTCAGATGAGTCCAAATCGTACTTCTGTTTGCATTAAGAAATGCAAATCTATTTCTTTGTCTTTTTTTACCAACAAGCCCACCATCGAAAAAATATACTCTCAGACACAAACCATAACCCCGGTTAGTGTGACAAATAAATCATCAATCTGTAGTCGAATGCTAAACGGACCGCAAAACCACCGTTTTATGGTGTAAGAATGTCGTATAAAAACAATCGTCTAAGGTGCATACCTTACAAAGCAACTCGGTAAGCCTATGCGGTTATATTCGGGATAGCTAGCATGAACGCATAAATTTTCATTCCTTACTTACCCACGTAGGAGACTCTTGACCGCATGGAACAATATTCATTCTGGACAAGATATTGAAACGATACTGAGGAAAATACCAAGGGCATAGTTTTGAAAAATAATGGCACACGATAAAAGTTTAGTCTCACATTGTTCACATGCAAGATTCAAATGAACCCACAGGCAACGCGCACTAATTTGAAGTAAGCTCAAACCCACGTTTATCATTTTCAGATTCGCCATGCAACATAAAGTAGCTTTACCCAGTGCACCTAACCAATGTAAACATGGAGCCTTTTCATAAATATTTTCTAACCGCTAGAGTATATTTTATTAGAGTGCGGTCGCTTTATGGTGTGGCAGTGCCCCTGTGCGTAGACAGGCCTGAGGCCACTATATTGTCCGGTTGACAGGGCTTCGACTCCCGTGCTAGGTCTCATTTGAGGAGCAACAATGGCAGAAAGGCCCATGAAGCACGGATCGTGGGACATCAACGATCGCTCAGAATACGCGATTCGTGAGAGAGACGATTCTGAAATAAAACCTTGTTATTCTGATAAGTGAAAGAGCAGTAAGACTTCTTCTCAAGCACCTAACACATCAACATACACGAAAGTAGCGGCTCAGGGATAGCCGACTCAAATCGATAAACCCAAAAAACCATACATACCATCCATTTTCTGACCAAGGCCATCGCTGAAATACCTAACATTGTTGAAATCTTTTGGGGCAACAAACGTTCGACCACGTAAGAGGTCCCCCAATTATTTCAGCATCACACCAACGTTGTTCTAAAAAGAGCCAAGTTTTGCGGACTAGGTCTACATGCCTTCACTGAAACCCAGCTGGCTAATCAAAGGGAAGTTTGAATGTCCGGCTGTGGTCTCGCTTCACACACAAGAAAACTTAGTCGAATACCATGTTGTGTTGATCAGTACATATATCCTGAAAATGTTATACCTAGACAAGAAAGAGTGACCTAAACGATTGCCTATCGAACGGAATGCACACAGGTTTTTGAGTGGCTCATTGTACTAGCTTGAATAACTCAGTATTTTGTTTGGTATGGACTTTAAAACCGGGAAAATATAACGGGATCATGTGAAACCGGCCTAACAGTGAAGTACTGACGACATAAGAAGCACCGAAATTTTCAATAAAAACTAAGTTATCCACCAAGAGCGGGTAAGGATTGTAAATGGGACCCATACACTAAATAAACATGCACACTTTGTCGACTGTATTATTGTACGGCATAAAGAGACTTCGGTGACAGTCCGACCCCAAAATTGATTATCCGAGCTGACTGCAATGAAAGTCATGCTACAGTATACGCCAAAGTGCTTGTCCTACTTGCAAAACTGTTCTACTTCGTGTCGGGATAAAGCTCAGTCAAGCTGGATGAAAAATCCACCGATATGTCTCCAAAGCGAAACGCAAAAGCTGTTTAATAACCAAGAAGGCCGTGACCTTAACGATGAATGATTACGCCAGCAGCTTCGGTAGATAAATCAGACGAACGTAAAACCGCCAACGTCAATGCTTTGGTGGGTGTGGATCACCAGCACGTCTTAAGTGAAAAAAACTAAAGTTTGATAATAAACTGAACGCACAAACTTCAAAAGCCGTCAGACTGCTACTCTGTCACCATCACCAAATTCTAGTAGACCGAGCTACTTTACTGCCTTTGTTAGTTCACAGTAGCGAAATCTCATCAACCTCTGCACTCCAGATCCAGGTGCCTACCGAATTCCAACTACGATGTATATGGAAATGCCTTTCCATCAACAGGACAGACCTAGTCTCAGAAAATGAAATTTTTTTAAAGGAAACACAAATGAAATACAGTGCGTTTGTTAGGATAATTGAGAAGACTGTTTGAACCTTGTATTTCAGAGGAAAATTGAGGCTGAAACTCAGGGACATCATAAATCTTGATAATTTGTTTGACCTCAGTTGAGTTCCTTCCATTTTGGAGGAAATGTGAAGGCCTGGGTCTCGACAAAGGCTCTTGCAGACTGAACGTCTGTAGTGATGTGGGACACATTGGGCCGCGGTTAGCTCACTTATGAAAAACAAGAAAGCTTTTTGGAAAGGTTCATTTCCTTCAAAGTAGCTGTGATCATATAGAATTGTGCATCATGAGGACGAACATGCACAGCAAAGTCCAACCTTGTGGACGAACAACGTAAATATGACGCCTTACGCAAACGTCTAAAACTAGGGCGATTTTGTTTTCATTTTATTTTTGGTACCTTTCATTTTGAAGATGATATTATGGTCCACCTTATGTCCAACAGCAAATTGGCTCTGATGGGTGGCTCTCGGTACTTTTATTGGGAAGGTGCGGTAAAATGCGGGTGCGTAACGGAATTGACTTCAAAACACCCCCGATAAACAGGTAACTGGTGCCGGTGCTCTCTGTCACACTGTCAGGCTGATTAGCGGCACACAATAGGTTCAAGCATTACTGGCCGTCAACTTTATTCCCTCGGATCTACATCGAAATCATGGGCTCACACGCAGACAAAATTTTGTTTCGAGGTCGTCCAACAATACCAGACGTAAGGACAGACCAAATGCTATCACTTTTGTTTGTTCAGATGTTATGCGCTGAGTATTCACATGTGCATAAACGCTTTATGGTACAACAAAGCTGTTTAAAGCACAAAGAGACGTGTTAACATAACTTGACTATAGGCTGGAAAATTTACCCAACGGACCTAAAGGATGAACGCCATGCTTTCCACTCCTAATGCCGACACACGTAACTTCGTTTCACACAAATGATTCTCAAATTCCTCCCTTTGGAATATGAGCCTAACTGGACGCCTAACTGGACTACCAACTGTCCATCAGGATGGAACTTACCTGTTCGGCAAACTGTATGTTTGTCCTCACCGATCGATTATTCAAACTTTGTGTAGGTCGAAAGTTATCCGACATCCTCCCTGAATTAGCAAACGGTGCTATTCTCAGTTCTCTCAAGGCCTTCAACTGTAAAGACGTGTTACATAACTTGACTATAGGCTGGAAAATTTACCCAACGGACCTAAAGGATGAACGCCATGCTTTCCACTCCTAATGCCGACACACGTAACTTCGTTTCACACAAATGATTCTCAAATTCCTCCCTTTGGAATATGAGCCTAACTGGACGCCTAACTGGACTACCAACTGTCCATCAGGATGGAACTTACCTGTTCGGCAAACTGTATGTTTGTCCTCACCGATCGATTATTCAAACTTTGTGTAGGTCGAAAGTTATCCGACATCCTCCCTGAATTAGCAAACGGTGCTATTCTCAGTTCTCTCAAGGCCTTCAACTGTAAGTCAAAAAGAATCAAAATACAATTCAGTCATTTTTTATTTTTTAAAAATGCCTGTATTTATTCATGTGAAATATTCTCCCATAGTCATATTTAGTAGGGTGATAATCACGTCTGCAGATATCCTTAACCTAATGCGTAAAAATGACTTCCGGCTTATCGATAAAAAAATCCTAAGAGCAAAGCAAACAGTAACGAGGTGTTACGAAGGATAGCATAGTTGCTTGGATGGATTGAAACTCTGGTAGGGCTCAACCAGGTACCTCTGTGTCCTTTCGCATTATTTTTTCATACCAGATTAACCAACTTTCTGATATTTTTCACAACTGTCCTTCAGCGTATCGCAAACAGTTCGGTTTGAATAACATTATCAAAACTTTAAGCTCGGTGTTTTAAACGTGCACCAGATTCAGAATATCCGGGGAGGGCGCAATTGGTAGGGCTCAACCAGGTAGCTCCGTGTGCCCTTTCGCATTATTTTTCATACCAGAATAACCAAATTTCTGATATTTTTCACAACTGTCTCCTCAGCGTATCGCAAACAGTTCAGTTTGCTTAACATTATCAAAACTTTAAGCTTGGTGTTTTAAACGTGCCCCAGATTCAGAATATCCGGGGAGGGCGCAAAAGTTTGACAGATATTCATAGATTGAATGGTTGCTTAAAAAAGTACACGATGAATCAGATTAGACGTTTAACTAAGTCCTTCCCTTCCAACGTAACTAATCAAAAAAGTACTAATTCGTTACAACATCATTAATTCATTCAGTCATGATCTTCACCAGGGCATGTTCCGTTTTTCACCACTTTATCGCCTGTTTTGTGATGAATAAGACATGCATTTATCCGGCGACATACTGATCAAGAACTGGGCTCATCTGGTGCCACGGCGCAGAATGCTACCATTAATTCTTGAGTCGCGTTTATGAACCTAAATACCATGCTTAATGACTACGGCTGCTAGCGGCTTTGGACGGCATGTCCATCACTTGAATACCACGGAACGCACATTTTTACATCTCATAATCCCAGGTGAGATCGTGACATATGGCATTCTCGTCTCGTTTTGAATGCCATATTTACAAAAAAGGTGGTGTAGGCGCTATTAGGCAGTGACAAGCCAACTATTCTCTCTGAGCAGATAAGAAAGTGGGAAGGAGAAAAGGGCTTCTTTCACAAGCCCCCTATTTTTTAACTTACAAGGAAAAAATCAGTAAACCGTGCTGTAGAGATGCTCCAAAAGGTATGACTTTGTGTATACTCACACCGCAATGAAACATTTCACTTCACACTTGACCGAACGCATCTGAACTGATGTGCACTGAAAATAACTTCTGTGAGTATTGGATTCGCACTTTTTTCACGTGTTTTGCCGCCTGTCGCAGTGGTACGACGTATGCATCTCAAACTCCCGCATGAGCCACTCGGTGTGCCGGGACACCTTTTGAATGGCATGCTCCAACGTGTCGCAGTGGTGCACCCGATCTTTAAGGCGCCCGTTTGCATTCTCCAGTCGGTTGTTGGTCACATTACCGAAATGAACCATTCCGCACTGTGCATGTATGGCCCATTTTCGGGTGATGTACATCCAGCGAGCCGAAAGACAGGATAGAAATCGAGGATCGGTTGGGCGTAGAAGCTGTAGATCTTGTCGGAATCTGTGTGCTTGTAATATGATGAACATAAAACCTAGTGGACAGCATTGTCCAGGCAAGCCATGCGGCGAAATATGATTTCACTTCACACTTGACCGAATATTCCATCATCGGAAACAGCCAATCGGCTGAAATATTCTCACTCAAAGGATGTCCAAACAGCCAATAAGCTGAAATATTCTCACTCAAAGGATGTCCACTGAGGTTTAATATATGACAAGAGCCACAAACAAAACTCACTTGCGTCTCCGTTATTATCATGGCTTGGTTGAGAACTATCCATGTCACCGTTTCGTGGCAAGCGGGAAACGGAATTGAGCCCTCATAGGTCATGTACTGCTTCGTTGAAGGCAGCAGGGCAGATATCAGTAATCCATTTAGCCGTCTAGATTGACCTAAGTGTGCATGATGCAAAAAATTAATAAGAACGAAATCGACCCCATTACTGGCAGAACTTTAAGCCATTATCGTTGCTTTGTGCTTCGCAGAAACCTCTGGAGGTATGCTCTTTGGATTCAGTATTCCTTCCCTGTTGAGTGATGCAGGTTGTCAGAAAGCTTCAGTGTCATTCGATTAATTAGAAACGTGTCTGATCAGTCATTGTGTTTTACAGCTTTATCAACCTATATCGTTTCGATATGCTGTGCATAGCCAGATAATCAAGTACCAAGAAAGACCTTGCCCGTTATCCGGTTTTAATAGCTCTTCGGGGACTGAACACCAAGGCCTGGAACAACGGGAGTTAGAAACAATAAATTTACTGCCCTGGATGAGGCGAAAAAGGAAGTGCACCGGCTCTAATTGGTGCGCAAGAACCGACCAATCCAATATCATCTTGAATGAATTAGGAGCCTTTGGAGACATAAACACAACGGGAGTCACCCTGTGTTGAAAGACCACAATATACTGCAGAGCCGGTTTACGTTTGTTGAAAACCAACAGTACATCTTAACAGCAGCATAGAAATATCCGGCCCCGCACCTCCTTTAAATTAGTTGAATATGACAGCATTTGAAGCCAAGTTAGTAGCAAAATTAGTAAGCCTTATGTAGCACAATGGTACAATAAATAACTAATCAATCGGTTTCTTCGGTTTCGAATCTGTACACAGTTTTACTGAATAACTTAATGTTGATAAAAAACCAACATCAACAAGAAAATCCACAGCGTCTTTCAATATCTAACACATTAAATTTACTTGAGAATTCACCTCTACTCTTGACTGAATTAGTGTCTATCGGGACTAACAGAGATTACGAAAAATCCCACGCAGTTCATCCACAAACTTGCTATGAATATTTTCAAAACATCTCATTCGCGTTTTCTTTTCATGACTTTCCTGGCTTTGAAAGACCTTTGATTTGAATAAATGTGTTATTGTTTATTTTGGTCACGCCAAAATCTCCTTACTTTAATTGGAACAATGAAGATTAAGTCCGTTTTCCCCTGGAGGTTCCTACTAGTGTACTTTGTATGCATACACTCCGCGGAAGAAAGAAATTTTACGATACAGAATATGTAAACGTATTTCAATAGGTATGCGTACCCCGTAGCTGAACTTCCTCGGCCGTGGCAAGGAGAGCCGATAGATCCGCAGAAGGGTGCTCACCAACCTATTTAGAATGTAAGACGTAAAATTATAACTGAAGTATCAAAGTATAATGAAACAAAAAGCAATGTATCGCGCTAGAAGAATACGGTCAACCGTAGTTGGCGAAACGCCCAGCTAGACGGAAAAGGTAAGTTACAATCAGAAAATGAACTGACATGCCTTTTGCGATAGCACTAAATTTTCGTTCGTCGTGTAAAATGACTTTAAAGTTCAGTAGCTGGTAAATCTTCCCTGAACTAGTAACTGTATGCGTGCGCCCACTTGCTCAATCAAGTTATGAGTTAAAGGAAGTTTTATTATGGTGAGTCATAATGACGCTTCAAATACCTGAGTGCATGGCCACATATTTATCCGTGGATATTCTGCACTATTCTGCTGATTCAATACAACTGTCGTATAGACTGAAAAAGTGTTGACCACGATAAAGAAGCATATATTATAGGCTGTCTGTGTTTTCATAGGCTAATCAAGCGTATTTGAAATCTTTTAGAGAGAGGAGGTAAAGTCTCTGATGAACGGTAATCAGACTACTTCACTTCCAATACGTGCCCTGAATTGTCGCACACGCCTTTAGTTTTGGTTTACTTTCTTCAATGGCCGGAAGCTGAGGTGACCGGAAACATAGTACTTACATCGTCCTAATTCTCACCGTGACAAGTGGTCCGTGTTCATCTGTTTTATTTTGAGAATCCGGTCCAAATATCAGGATTTGCGCATTTGTGCAATGAAGTCAGTGAACAATTTACGGTTCCTATCAATTCATATCTCGCTAATAACCCGTATGTACTTGGATTTGCAAGTCAATCGGTGTAATCATTTTCAGAAAAGTATGGGAAGAAATCGGTAGATCTACCGAGTGTCTCAAACGTTTCTGAAAACGACGACCCCTCAATTTACTTCAAGCGTTTTTCATCTGACGAAAAGTATAACCATCTTATTAGGTCTATTAAAACATGGTCATTGAGTCAGTAAAACTGTCCCAAGATTAGTAATTAGCTATTGTAACAAAATTATTGTAGCGGTCTTATGGCAGCGAAATAAAAGGCATGGCGTTACAAACTTTGCTACCCGGCGTCGATATGGCTTTAAACTACCTTTAATCAACAGGGCGATTGCTCCTCTTTGATTGAACAATAGGATGGTTATTGCCAGTAATCTGGTAGGAAAACTCACCCGTAGATATACTGACAAAAATCTGAATTCAGCCACTTCGTCAGATTTAGAAGAATAACACCGGTTTTCAGTTGAAGTTTTCCCTTAAACTTACACAGTGCGAGAGTTTAGACTCAAGGACTCAATGGTACGAAGGCTACTTTATCTTAAAAGTAAGATGACCTACCGTGCAACGCTCAGGATGCCCTACTCTAATAACCTTTTCGTGTTTGTGGATCAGTGGGAAAAGCTTTTCTCACACAAACAAGGTCTCGGCCTCATCGTAGGCGTGTTGTAATTGGCTCCCAGCTGACTTTAATTTAACCTTTTGCTTCCCACCAATAAGGGCACAAAACACACTTTTTCTGCTACCTTTCAGAAGCAATTAAAACGTCCTCTTGATAGCCAAGGCAGATTAGAGAGACAAAGCGTGACTCTGAAAAACTACCTTTCATCAGTGTGGGATGGTCTCAAGCGGTTTGTTTGATATCCTTGACAGCACCATCTGTACCGATGAAATCACTAGACGAGTGTTGCTAACCCCACCTTCGCAGCTGCACCAGCTCCCAAAATTTTGGACAGTTAGCACAACATAGCAAGTGTTTGGGAAATAGATCCGAATTTTTATACCCTGCCTTACAGTCGTTCAACTCTGGTACTACGGCCTAATCACTGAAAAGGTTCTCCGCTGGTTGGCAAAACTACAATCTTTTGCTTGTTTTGATGTTTAAGGGTGTGTTCAAAGACCATTCTTTTTAGCTCACATAAACTTAAACAATGTAGATGGAAAGGTTAGTGAAACATATGTCGCTGTCATTCAGTGGAATACGATTGAACTATCAAATATCAACAGCATTTTGGGCCCCATTTCCGCAGCGTAAGAATGTCATGAACCGATAGGTCACGTGGTCATTACGGCTGAGACATCGATCCATGTGAAACTGTGGCAGTAATCAATAAGAGGTACGCCACTGCAGTTTTTTAACCTCTACGTTCGTGTGAAAAGGTCACTAGTGTTCTCCGATTATAAAAGCTCTTTATCGGATAGCCGCGTAATCCAGAATCACTGTCTCCTCCGTTTCCGGTTTAGGGAATTATTATTGACGCACGCATATATGTACATATACCAAACGTCCATGCAGTGGTTTTTCATCAGATGGAATGCTGGATAAAGTTTAAATAACCGCTGGACAGTCATTTATTCATTTCAAAGGGTCACGCGAGTGAAACACTGCTGCGTGAGTTAGAATTCTGTATGGATGATTGCGCTGTGCTCGCATTCCGAATCAGCATCTACGTGGTTGATGCAGCCTTTGGTTTCACGATATCTTGACTTCTCTTGAATACAATAATTTCCAAAACATTTGTCACCTATCAACCAGCACCAAACCCTCAGTAAAGGCGCCAGAAATTTGGATGAAATATTATGAGATGGCCAAATGTACGGATCCTATAGCCCTGCTTGCACACTGTCTACATACCGCATGTCTAAGAGTGAAGCCAAAAAACAGAATGTAAATTTGAGCGGTATTCGGCTACCTAGTGAAGTGCGCGTGGAACAACTGTAATTTCGATGTAGACACAAAGGGTGCGTTTTATCCGGCGTTATTTTGCTAATGTACGTCAGAAATACCTAAGCACTAATCAGGGAACATTTTTTGAATTCTTGACTAGAGTCCTCTGCAGTCTCTACTCAGTGTCTTTGGATGGAACGGAAAGACTGAATTCCGAAACTCAAACTCCCCAGAAAAGAGAGAATTACTTGAATCGAATGCATTCTGGTACGACACTGCTTTGGACGTTTGGATACTTTGGGCGAATAGCCCAAACTCACTTTGTAAAAAACGGAGCTCATATATGGAAGGCCTAAAATTCTTATTCAGGGGCGGCCTTCAGGCAGGCTTGAAAACCTGTAACTTACATTGCAGATTACAGTAGAACGTTGGACTCGACAGCTTGCCAAAGAAAGGTTATCTATGGGCTTGAGAAGCTGCGCAACGTGGCAGGTACCAGTTCTGTAAAACAAGAGAGCCATCTAGAAGAGTTTCATATTCACTAATATAGTTAGGACGACAGCGGAGTGCGCAATACGCAGTCACACGTCATAGTAGGACTGGCTTGATTATTATGTGACTTACTGATCCACAAATCCACAAATCTAACTCCAACACCCGCAACTGAGATGAGTTTCTTCCTATAATCTAATCAATACCTTTCAGACGTACTATCATCTTAATCTGCTTCTTACTAAAAACAGTGTGGTCAATGGATTGTCGCAAGTTGTGATGTTACCGCCTCTATGGCAAGTCGGCTGATAGATCCAAATAAAATTATTTCAATGCTACACTCCAAAGGCCTGTACGCTGCAATTAATCCAGCTGGTCACAAGTCGTCTACCGCCATCCAAAACTTGGCTGGCTTTTATTGGTTCGACAACTACTAAATGGAAAATCCTATTCGGATCCCAGTCTTTCTTTTAGTCACAAAGAACAGTTGTGTTGCAGTTCATCATTTTACTTGATGAAAAGTTCGCCTTCATGGTACACAAACCGGCCGTGTGTCAGGGATCACAAAAACTAGGTCAAACTTTTAATTAAAAACCGCCACATTGTCCAAACTTGTTCACTCCTAGGAAATTCTGCACATCGCCCATCACTAAGCGAAAGTACTGATTTCCTTCTTCTATTTAATGAATGCAGTTTCCCTGCTACCCTGTAAAAACCGTTTTTGATTTCCATCTAGTCAAGTGTCGGTACCTGCAACAGACACTTCTGTCTCATCCAACTGGTACAATATATGGTTTTGCGCTAATTCTGAGTTGCGGTCCCTGGGTTTAAAATTTTTCGAAGCTCTAGGGTGATGTAATGAACATCTGGTAAAATAAGCAATCCAGACCAATTAGAATAGGAGCGTTTCGATAAACGTAGGATCCGCCTAGGTCTTAACACTTGTGTATGTTAGGTAAAGAAAGTTTGGTGTCTCGTGGTATTTTGCCAATGAACATCACTTCATATAATGACCAAAACTGCGAATTCCTAATCACTGTGGTTTCCTCGGAACTCCTTGAAAAGTAAGTTCCTCAACCAAATAAAGGGTCTTTTTAGCGTTGCTACGTAGCATTTGCTAGTTCACATACCCACAAATAATTTATTATACGGAAGCCTTGATCACACATCTTGCTGACTTGTAGCTTTCCAAGATCGTGGATTCTTAGCGTAGCTAACGGATTTCCTCAAAAATCAATGACGAACTTTGTTTTCACTAGAATTCATCAGCAGTTCCGTGCAGAGACTCGAACTTCGAATATGTGACTTACGAGGCAAGCCTGTTACGGGCACTTCACCAGCGAACGCTGGTCGCATCTGAATTTTCACGTCCGAGCAGGCGGACACGTGCCGAGTTCAAGCCTGGGCACAGCCAAGTATATCCAATTCTGATGAACCGTAGTAAGAGCGAAACTCGAGTCTAGTGTTCCCACCTTCGGCGCGAATTCACCAGAATGACTGCTCAAACAATAGTGATGTTAATGTGCATTCTGAAGATCCCGCAACCACCAACAACAAAGCGAATGGTCACTTCACTCTATCGCACACGGAAGGGGAATCTTACAAAAGGATATAAACGGCTAGGAAACAGCAAACACATTATTAACTCATGAATGTGTGCTTATAACATTTTCTCAGACGTATCCTCCTTTAGCGGCCAATACAGTTAGTTACAATGACGGAAACGGAACCGCCCAGATATGGTTTGTGTGAAACTAAGAATCTGGTTAGGACCAGCATGGTGAGTGGTTGAAGGGTTGAAGAAATCATACTGGATTTTGCGATTTCTCCTCAGCCTTGGTTTAAAGTCCAACAGCAATAGTAGCCACAAGAGGATTGTGTATGTTGACGGAAAGTGATCCCCACTCTTGAATGAACATCAAGTAATGAAATATTACCATACTTGCAGGCAAAATATCATAGGTATAAATGTCAATAGCATATCACTCACAATCATCCATCAGTTCGAAAGCTGACTACGAAGTTGTTCTGTAGTCCAGTGTTGAAACGAAAAAGTGTTTGCTTTTATTTTAGTGGTCACTTTTCGTCCAGAGATGAAAAAGTGTTTGCTTTTATTTTAGTGGTCACTTTTCGTCCAGAGATTTATTGGTGCCTCTGACAAATGAGTCTATGAAACCAAGGGTTATGCTTGGTCCATAATTTTCCAGGAGAAACTTCCCCTGTTGAATGTGTCTGAAAACGACTGACCAGATGAGTAACGGCTTGTTTATGCAACTGAAATTCCATGACAACACTTTAAACCATTCGAATCACAATTCTATTCAAACTAAATCGACCCTGTGAGCCATGGCCGAGTGAACAGATTCACAGGTTCACAGAACTCGGGAGCAGCAATCTCTTTGTTCACTATTTATTAAGGAATCCATCTTAACTTCCAAAAACACAACTAGCATTGGACACAGTCATACGGAGTTGTAACGTTTTATGCTTCAATAATTCGGTTCCCGGTGTATTTCTCTTGTCCCGTCTCTAGTGAGCATTACCTGCTTAGCCGATTTCTGCATGTATCATAAAATTACGGTTATCGTTCAACCGTTTCCATGGTGAGGTAAAAGCTGAAACCATTTGACGACCCAAACAACGACCGAAGAAATGAGGCAGATTATACGGCCAACTGTTTCCCGGGAAACACTGATTGACTGTGGACAATTCAATCTGACAGCCAATATTAATTAAACGCGGTGTAATTTACTGTGAGGTTGGTTGATAGAAGTGTTGTCTGGGCCATGTTTTAGACAGAAAAGGGTTTTTACTAAGACAATAAACGGTACAATTGATTAGCGGTGTTACGGACGAATAAATTTTGTCCACTTATACTTAAAAGATCGATTTCAACAGATTTAAGACTTTAGGACAGTCTAGGACTGATAAGTGTTATTTTTTACCCCCCATCATTATCATTATCCTTTGTATCCTATTCTGTCCATTGTTTACATCTGCAAAACAAATACAAATCCTGCTATTTTTCTTAAACCGCCGAAACGAGCCTCTCGGTTAGTACCACTATCTTTATAAGTCTGATTTAACATGAATTGCAGTCATAAAACAACGCTTGAAGATTTTTTTCTGAACCATTCAAAGGTCGAGAAAAAAACCATACCTCTTTTCACTCGCTGCAGGCATCAAAATGGTGAGTGGGGACAGGTCGCAATCATGATGTGAGTAAGAATCCTCAGCGGCCTGATCTGTCCATACGTGAGTATTGATTCATCTGTATCTCGATTGGCGCAAGAAGAATTATGATGCTTGCGAGCCTATACACAAAACACCACATAGCTAGAAGGACCAACTATTGGAAATTTGGTATTTGGGTGTTGCTGGGTCTTGCTAAACTCCACAGTCGTAACATGGCTGCAGAAGTGTTTAGAATTCTCAATGACTAAAAGTCTATGTATTCAAATCATCTTCCCATTCCTGGTGGAGTACATTCGGTCAAAAACTAAGCGGTATGGTGTGAGCTCTGTGTATCAAACCTGTTATTGATAGGATAACACAACTTTAGTCGCTTCAGTTCTTTAGATTCAGATTAATAAGAGAGTTTTTGCTACGTGCTGACAAGAAACGCTCTCCGTGCAGTATGATTTGATTTAGCCATAGATCCGACCATACCCATGAAGTAAACGAAGAACACCAGGGGCACCTTCATTTGGCTGATTAAATGGAAGTAATTGTGGAACTATCGACATCCGTCGCTGCGTCGCCCTTCTGTTTCATAAAGTTACGTGTGATGGTATGTCCAATGCGTACTTCGGACTATTGAGGTCTCTAAGCCTAGGAAATGTATTTCGCTGGTGTACAAAGAATTAAATTCGAAAGATGTTTGCTTGGGTTTTTTGAAGGAGTTGTGTCAATGGGACAGCAGTTCTTGCCTACTGAAATCACTTGTTCGAACAGAGAATTTACTCACTTTCAAAAACACTGCAATTGCTGCTAGTCCATGTGGTCTCGGAACAGCCATTGAAACATTCGCATATAGTAGGTAATTGTAAGCGTACAACTGCATCTGCAATACGTGAAGACAATAGTGAACATAAATTCTTACCGCACTACGGCGCATGAAAGTATTTCTAAAGAAGCTTTCACGTTTCATAGAAAAATAGCTAACACATCCAATGCACAGAGGTGTACAAATTTTTTGTATGCATGTATGAAAAGTTTCAAAAAATATAGTCAGATAGTTGAAAGCCTCTTGATTCAGGGTGCACTGCACAATTCGACCTACCTCTGCAGGAAAGGGGACACCGTCGACCTGGTGATCAGACCCATGTTGCGATTTTGAGCCAAATTTTATCAGAGCGCCAAAAACTCTGTACTCATAAGATAAAGGACCACCGGTCAGGAGAATTTGTGGCGAAGCATCAAGCAAATCTATTCGCAAGTCTTGGCCAGCGTTGGAGATTTCTAAATCAATCTGCAGAATAGCACAAACAAGTTAGGGGAATTTTGATTTCGTCCTAAACGAATGGAATAATGGTTTCACATTTACGCCCTTTTTCAGGCATTTTAATAAATATTCTCGGGCATGAACCAAACCAGTTATTCAACACTAGTCAAACTTTCACAGGTCAACTTCACCAGACATTATAGCAGGCATGTGACACAGTTCTTGATATACGATACACGTGTCATGATTGTGAAGTTTGAGTTAACTACAAAGCACATTGCGGCACGTCAGAAATTTTGGTATGAATTATTACTAGAAAAACCGCATACTGTTATCAGTGAAAATATACGAAATAATAACGAATATACTTTACTTCGGACACTGCGAAACGATGGAGAATGATATCAGCTTCAGAGTTTTTAAGTAGAAGAACAATGGATACGTTCGATAACACAACTGCTTACAGTGAAACCAGTCGTGAGCCAAATACTCCTTATCCCTCGACTTCCTCACCCTTCTATGGGTGTGATTGTGATACTCACCTAGAAAGAATACTTTTCATGGGGAAGATGAATTCCATTTGAAACATCTGACTACGAACGGTATTTTTTAGAAAAACCAGGGACTGCTTGATACAATACTGGGCACTGCACAGTCTTCACAATGCCTACAATGAATTCGATTCCTCTGGGGATCGGTTTAGGGAATAAGACTCCCAACCAAAAAATGCTAATCTTTACTGACCTTACTGGAATGATCCCAAATGGACGCACATGAAATCCGATTTGAACTGGTTACAAAAGAGGTTATCGTGCATATACGGCTACTGTGTATCAGCATCATACACCGTCAACTTTCCACTCAAGGCTCATGGATCAAGTCGATGAAACAAACGTGAAACTGTATAACCAAAACCACGCAGTGCTACATTAGTAATGCATTTTTCAAGGGCCTTAGCAAAGCAGAACCGGAAAGTAGTAAGCGTTTTGGTTGGTTGCTCGAAATATCTAGCGCAAAGCGATAATATTTCGCTACGAAAGACCACAAAATCGAATACACACCAAATGTCATTATTTGATCCAATAACTGTTCGTGTTATTGCCATTTTTATGTGCCGGATGAAAAACATTTACTGAACTCGGTTCGCTAATTCTTGGTGGGACAGACAAGGAGAACAACAACTGCTTGTTCTGGAATGCTTCATAGGAACAATCAGATAGGGAGTTAGATTAATCATCTGAGACATGCAGCATCTTTCAGGGTTTTCTCCCGTTAAAAACCAGAGCAAAGATCCTGGGTGTTAGCAGCAAGTTTCCAGAACGTGCAAATAGACAACAGGGTACCCCATATTTTCTGCATAATTCTGACATTCAAATCTTCAAAATTTGGCAACTTCACGTTGTATTCGTATGATTACAGCTCTGTTTCGTTAGTCTACGGTGAACCAAGTGATCGTTTACTTTCGATAGCGTGGTTGTACTGCGTATTACTTGTTGCTTACACATTGAATTCATGCTGGTTCCCTTCATTTATAAGCCATCAACGATTGTACTTCCAAGGAAATTAACCAGCAGTCATAAGGTGGTTGGTTATATGATCGTTGGTCTGCTAGTTTGCAAAAATTTCGCCCCCAGTCGAAGAGACGTCGTCAGCCCCTTAGCTGAGCGAGTTGAATTGACCCACTCAGTTGTGCACTGACAATGTCTCCCCGACTTGAGATGAAAGATTTCCAAACCAATTGCCAAGCGCAGCAAACAGTCCAACGTCCATCTGATTAACCATCAGTAAACGCACTAGCGACACTGAAATTCCGACACATTGGCGGTCAGAAGGTTACAAGTTCAGTTGACGAACTTCATCTAACACTGTCATTATGCGGTTCTTCCGCTAATAGTGTTCACCTAACCAGATAAAACGTCAGTACCGGTGAACCACGGCAAGTTTGTGGATGACTGTACAACAAAAAAGAGGAAGACGGCCCAGAGAACAACGAAGCAGTGACAGTCTCAGATTTACTCGTTGACAAGTAAACGAAAAAGTGACCGACACTGAAATGCTTTTTGCGAAGAAATGATAGATCGAACTAAGTGCCTGGTTTCTCCAAACTCGATAACCGAAGAAAATGCCCTAGAGAACCGTCAGAAAATGTAATTTCTATGAACCACTTCTTATATTGCATGAGACCAATAATCACCAAGATTTTGGCTAGGCTCCTAAATTAATGTTTGCTAGTTTGGACTGCGTACATTCTTTGGAGGCAAAAGTCTGCTTACGTCAAGGGGCATTCTATGAGTAAAAATTGAATAACGTTTTTGGTTTTAACATGCACTGCACTATACACTTCGTCCTACTAGTTAACATTTGAGGTGTGTTACGTGATTGCTTTTGGGCCGAGCGTGATTACATCACTCTAACCATCAGTTCACTCTCATTTATGTTCAAATCCGTTCAACCAAAAACATCGAGAAGCATCAGTACTGACGTAACCATGTTAATTTGCCACTCAACGTCAAGTGAAGCATCATCATGGTCAGGAGTAAGTTTATTGAGAAACGAGTAAATTTGTCTTACATTTGACTAAAATGCACTATAATGACTTGCTACGTTTAGCTGAGAACGTTCTATTCATTAGGTTCTTTTGGCGCCAGCTTCATAAAGTTAAGACTGAATCTTCCGCTTCAAATATAGGCTGGAGTTGTGGAAAAATGGTACTCAAGACCTGTAGGAAACATTTATGTGGGTAAAACATTTCAAAAAAAACTCGTTAGTCGCACGCATTAACACAGACCTTCCTCAGCTATTGCGTCTTCCGCATCGTCACGCGGCGCTAAATGTGGGCCCTCAGCAGAAGAAGAGACACTTGGTCGGCTAAAAATCTACAGAGCACTGGGTGAAGATATGAAAAGCACGCACTACCGCTATTCTGGCACTACTCAGTAATCCATTCTGTTCCTTCTAAGGCAGCAAAATGTTACCGCCTGGCTTGAGAACCTCTAACTTTTTTACCTATCCACAAATGAAGTAAACAAGTATGTTTGTGACGGGTACCGAGGCATAAGCATATTGGATGCAGCTTCCAATGTATTTGTCATCCTCTTCATGAACCATCGTTTCCGCAAGATAAACTTACATGCCACGCCAAGTCATTTAGGTTTTTTGTCTGAAAGGAGATTTCAGCAGCCAATATTCGCTGCAAGCCTTGTTCCGAAGAAACCATACAAATATTAACATTCAGCNTGTTTTGTCCCATTCAGGACGGTGCTCGGCCCCGTGTGCCAGGAAGAACTGCGAGCTATACTGTAATCCAACAGCATTTTGAGTGCTTCATCCGGCTGTTGACGTCTTACTACGCGGGTGCGATGGTGCTTGTCCGTACGTATGGTGATGATTCACCAAACTTCGACTTGTCGTCTTGTCTGACAGGAATGTCTACTATCCCTAAAACTGTTCTACTTTGGTGTTCACCGGATAATGCAGGAACCCATCACAGACACCGTGTGGGTGCATGAGAGAAGCTGTTGATCGCGTACCTAGTATTTTTGGGTATCGGAGTTGTTATCGACGCAGAAAGCAAAAGCTTTGAGGAGGTCCTCAATGGTGTCAGCCCAGAAACCAATGTCTCCGAAACCAAAATACATTTTTGTAGGCACTCAACTCTGATGGATAAACGATGTGGAACTGAAAAGCGTTCCTAACTCCAAATACCTTGATTCAGCCATTACACCGAAAGGGCAAGCTAAAGGGTAAATTTAGAACTAACTTGTATATTGCCCACGAAGCATGCAATGTGGCACAGAAATGAAAGCGACCTAAAAACCAAGCTCATAATCTATCATCCCTTTGTCCGACTTATCATACGTTGAGCTCGCAAAACCTGTTTAATGCGCTTCTCAGACCTTCGCGAGACAAAGGTTTTTGACCATTGGTGCCTGCGAAATTTTCTTCGAAAAGGCAGGCCCGATATCCGTGACTTGAAATTGTTGGGCTTTAGTAGTCAATCCAAAATTGTTAATCTCGCCGCTCTGAACACGTTCTCTAGTATCCATAGACGGACCTAATCAGCATTCTTGCATTTATACCGTGTTAGAAGTGGCTTCGTCTCCGAGCTTGTTAGTTAACAACCTAGATGCATCTTGTTCAATCCGAAACGGTATCTCACGGCCTGCGGGTTGTCCACTCCAAATTCCACAATGACCAAGTTTTGTGGAGTATATTCGAGAGCCCCGAAATCGTTCGTTGTGTTGGGGAAGGTGCGAAGCCCGCGTATATTCGGGCAAAAGTTAGTTGAAGTAGACTCCAACAGGACATATTCATACACTTACTGTCCCAAACATTGCGGAGAGTCTGGTACAACACACATTTCAATATTTCATTCTCTATTTGTTAGCTCTCAAATTTAAATGGGTCAGCAGGATATTGATTGCTTGATGCCGTTTTTACTCCGCTAAAAGCACTTCCAATGGTCAGCCTTTTCGGAAAAAGTGCCATGACGAGCCATACTAATAAGCGTAAACCATGATTTCAGCACAAGTAATTTGATTATAATCAATACTAGTACCCGAACACTTTCTTTTGAAGTGTCCCAAAAATTAACCTCAAATAGTTGAGTCTGAGCACAGCACCTATTTACTTAATATAGAGTGGCGTGGATTAAGTTACATAAATAGCCACTTGGTAGATGTCGGGGCATCGTCATAAAAATCACGAAAAATCCTTACCTGTTTATCCTTTCCAACAATGACTAGTGGCTGCAAACTAGGATCATAAGTTAAATTGGACGAGGATATGCTGATTGGTGACTGAAGTCTTCCCTTGTGACAAGCTGGCCAGACATCGTCTGCATAGGTCATGTACGCAGTTTGTCCCCAGTGACTTGGACCTAAAAAGTAACGAAAAACACGGAGTCATTTCAGGAACCAAACTTGCTACGAATTATCAACAATATTGACGTCTACATCGAACTGTGCGAATTGTTGCAGATTTCGAAAGTCAAACAGTCGCTTCAACGTTGATCTGCTGGAAGTACTACAAGAAAGATCATATTCAAAAATTACATGTAGAAAGTCCCACAAAACTCTTCCAGTCACGGAAATTTATTTTGACACAGTTAAGTTGCCCAGAGGGCTGTGTCATTTGGAGCTACATGTTCTACCATCAGTCGAGGCCTGCTCCGTTATTTAAGTGCATACGTTCGTACCGTTCAGTCATAACAGCATAGTGCGCAAACACGAATAGGTCTATGGATGACAGCTTCAGGTCACCAGGGGCAACATATCGTGGATACAGATCAGTATCACTGCATATAATCTATAAGCACCATAGTCACACAACACATTTATGCTCAACTTCACCTGTCAGCAAGATGTCCCCACGCAATCCGTGGACCCATAAGCTCCTAGGTGTAAACCCGATTAAATATTACTCCCCGGAATTGCAAGAAACAAGCTGGCGTGGGATATATATATATATATAATCATATCTGATCAGTAAATTTGGGGTTGTATTACTTCATCAAAAAACGGTGAACATTCTAGCTCCTAAATCAGCTTCTCTAATAATCCAGTCAGAAGGTACTAAAGAGGAAACAAGATTCTAGCCAACAAAACTATGTTTAGCCTGACACTGCAATCTGAGGCATAATATTTCACAACCAAACAATCGTTATTTTGTCAATAAATACTCAATAAACTGATACTATTTATATCGTTTGTTTGATAGCTCACATTCGGTCAATAAACAACATTTGCACGTAGCACTTTGTGTTTTAGCCTGGCGAAATACGTGGGCCACGGTATTCATGACCACCATTGTGAAACTAAAACGACCTGATCCCGCCAGAAGCAAACAGAGGGCAGGATCTTATGAAAAAAAGTTTGTACAAGACGTCCGAAAAGCGCGGTGCACGTAAAAGAAACACGAGAACACAGTTGGCTTTCCGGAAGTGAACTGGTATCATCTTTCTCCCAAAAAGGAGTTGTTCCTAGGGCAAGACAACCAGTGCACAATTTTCAGACTCTCTGGGACAACACTCGTTGCTTCTGTGTCAGATCGAGTTTTCATTTTTAGGTTGCCTTATGCACTGTTGAATGACCTTGTTTTCGTATCCGAATTTAGTTTATATAAAGTAACCGTTTCGTTCCATCTTCATCAAAACTTCTATGGCCCGCGATTCGTCCGGCGGTGCTTTCATCAGTTTCAATCGTTTTGGGCACCACCAGTCTTGGTGCAGACAAGTGTTCACAGCCAGCACGCAGGCCAGAGCAATATTATAGTCCTCGCAAAATGTCAGTAGCAAAACCGTGTAAAATTCTTTTTCACAGTGAAAGGCTAGAATTCTCACTTAATGTTTCATTGTTTTAAAAAAACAATCACTGGATGATTCATGGTGGAGCATATGGACAAAAACATGGTAACTTGACCCCAACTATGGAGATTTCATATATTTACAATATAATTGGCCATCTGTGCAGTTATCTTTCCGAAAGGCTTTTTCACTCGTTGAACTCTCTAAAAAAGTTACGGTAAAATTTCCTGAGATGCAGGCTTAAGAAGTACGCAGATCAACGCAATAATACCAACCGGACAGTCTTAGCCCAATAGTTGATACACTTTAATGCCGGTAGGGCAATTCTTGGCGATATATTGCCAAGTACAGCTTCCAACTGATGTACTAATCACAATCAATCTCAAACTCCTGCTCTTTCGAAACATTTTGCAACATAAAAAATAGGTAATGAAACAGATTCCGAATATGTTTTGAATTTTCGGATAATTGGGTCCCCGGTTTCCTAGAGAAGTGATGCATACTGCTCAGAATAATGGCAGTCATCCTCACCTCCATATTCCAGCCCCCATCAGCCATAGGCCAAAGCCTATTTAAAAAGGTAGTTTTTTGAGAAGGGTGTTATAATCCAACAAGTTTGCAGAAAAGCCCAATGATGCCACCGGTACCCAACCACAGAGGGACCTGTCACACAAAGTGGAGCACGTGGCTAAAGGATTATCGAGGCATCCTTCGTAAACTCTGGTGTATACAAAAGCACTCGGAAAATTTTCACCTCATTTGCTGCTTCCATTCAGGCAAGAAATACACGTGACTGTCTATTTTTGATGTTTGTAATATGACGAAGGTCAGAATGTCGAAATATTGCACTTGTCGTCATTGGACATATGATTCCAACCGAAGCAACTTAAGTTTAGTTTCCCCTTTCCTGGACTTTAACTATCAGGTGCTGTTTGATTACCGATCGCTGCATAAAACGCACTGGTCCATTGGGTCATAAACAATCGAATCGCTCGGAGATTTTCTCCCAATACATTAGTGTTCTAACTGCAATGTGTAGGAGTAACGCATAAACCATACCTCTAAGCTTATGATAAGACCATTGAGTCAACTTTATGTTGACAGTTTGGTTAACGATTCTGTAGGTCGCCGATCACTTTAGTCTAGAGAAAGACCCACGGACTAAAGACATATTCTGTTGAGCAGGCAACCTTTTAAAGGCCTGTAAGGTTTTTCCACATATCGGGAAGTAATAGTACAAAAGTAGTCTATGCTTATTTTGCGTCTAGTAGAGAAGAAAGGATTTAGGAATTCAGCCAGGTAATACTCAGACGTACTCAGTGTTAACGGGATTTTTGCACCCAAAGATTCGGCAAACGGTCTTGCTACGATGGTAGAAGGTTTACTATCTCAGACACAGGATGCAACTTGGTGTTTCCAAATGATACACCGAACGTATTCAAATTGGAGATGAAAACACTGGCAAAATGCATAGGCGATATGTAGTTAGGTGGATCACGCCTCACCCGAATTGTCTCCCGCTCCAAAAGCAGACTTCAGCTGCATAGGACTCACACATATTCTACAACGGATTTTGCCGACAAAACTACGCCCTCAAATTAGAAACGGCTATTTCTTTTTTGCTGTTTACGTATTTATCAGCCGACTAAATTATGGTCAACGCTCCTCTCTGGCAGTTGAATAATTCAGTACTAGGGATTTGATATATTTGCACTAACAGGATGAGAATAAATCTAGTTGTAATTCACCCCGTTAGTGGTTTAAGTCCAACATCTCATCTCCCTTTTAATATGATTGAATTGCTTTCTACCCCTTGTTTGTAGATAAAGAAACCACCGCCGGACTCTCGGCAAACTTGCGGATAGTTTTCAGATACCTTGTAGCCGGAATAACCAGTTTTTCTTGAACTTTAGCCACAAATAACTGAGCTCTTTAAGCAGCTGTTACAACTTTGCATCCATATTATTTCTCATTTACTCTTAAGCTCTAAATGTTAACCGTCAGTGAGCATCTTTGGCAACCTTGGGACGGTCAACCTGTTGCAGTAGAGTTTTGTGAAATTTTATCTTGTATTACCTTCCAAGGCTTTTAAGCAGTAGTTGGTAATAAACATTGTGATTTTTCCCCACTGCCTCCAAGAATGAATCTGTTCAAATGAATTATACTAGGACAACGTTTCAGCAAGGCAAATTTTTGAGCAACGACAATCTGTTTCGATTCAAAAATATGTGCATTAGTTGAACAAACATCGCAATAGCGAGTTTACCTTGCATCGGAGGTCCTCCCCTGTTTGCAAGTAGAGACGATTTGGGCAGGGCCACCAGCGGGACACATCTCTCAAGCTCCGAGAACATTACGAATGAGCGATTTAACTAGTACCAGTGAAAAATCTTATGATTTGGTCACAAAAGACTGATCAGCAGTGGGATCGACTTGAAGTCAAGACAGAATATAGTGGCATTCAACCGCTCAAGTTCATGTCTTGCTATCATGGGTGGATTTCCGACGAATGACATTTCTAGCACAGGTTTGGTCATATGAAAGAAAACATCCAGTCATAGTGGAAAAGTCTTTGTGTCACGTGTAATGAAACCAGAAATCAAAATCAAAATAGAGTATCATACGGTATGACGTTATACTCACCGTATTTCAGCTACCAAAAGGCAACTTTTGTTAAATGTTCTTCACAAAAGCATATGGTCGGTTTGGCCATGACTGATTTGACAGGAATATTCCTCCTTGAAAAGTCTACTTGTGGTCTGTAAGTTGTGATTCCATCCTGTAGATGAGGTTACTCTGTGCCACGAAAGCGAAGTACCACTGGGCACTTTCATCCTTCCTACAATTCCTCAGAAGTTTTGTATCCAACTTACCCAAAGAGACCTAAGTTAGTAACTAAAGAACTAAGCTTCTGAGAAAGGTGAAATTCTTTCCGTCTGGGATATCGTCACTCGAGGAGATGGTCAAAACCGATTTGCATTATTTGAACTGAGTATCTGAAGGATATGTATGGTTGTAAGGCACTTGTGGCCCATAGTGTTTAGTTGTTGAATGAAAGGCAACAGGTCCGAAAGAGGGTAGCTACTGATTTTCGAATAGCTCCACTGGGCTTTTTGGAGCCCTAACCTAGGATGGCTAAAGTTGTAGGAGAAAATCAAATTCCCCGTAACTAATACCAAACCATTAAACTAGATGTATCTCACAAGATGCCAATCGCCGCATTTTTCTTCTTCAGTTAAACCGCTGAATTCAATCTAGTCTTGTAACACCTTGGTCATTTCCAACAAAAAAATTGGATTCCTTATAAATGCTGACCTCAATTGTTTGGATCGTATGCTGTTCACACAAAAGTAGCGTTTGGTCTTACACTAGCTGAAGTGGACTTTCGGTTAATTACTAGGTTTTGATCAAGTGTAGCGTTAGCCGGTGGATGGCGGAAAATTCAACTGCGACTGGTTTTCATTAACACACTCCGTCACTTACACTATACGTTGGTCTGAAAATTCATAAAAAGTCAGGTAGGTAAATTTATGCGGTTTGGAAATCTCAGTGCTTTGCCGCATTAAGTGAGCCTGAATAGGAGGCAAGTAATATCTTGCATTGTAATAATGCAAGATTCTGTTCGTTGAAAAGGCCGTCGGATAAACGTTGTCTTTTAGCTCAAAAACAGAAAGAGTTAAAACATATTACCCCCGAGTTTTTTATCAACTACGCGTACTAAATTATCATATAGTTTCTTATACGGTTTGGATTCGGTTGAATACAGAATACTTCTTTGATTATATGTTATTGCGCACTGGCGATAAATGCGTAATTTCTTGGAGTCTAGCACTACTATATTCATCTTGATGCGAAAAATAAGAAGTCTCTAATTTATAGATAATTCGCGTAATCATTCAATTCAGACACTGTATCGGACGATTATCACTGTTCAACTAGAAGAAATAATACTTCAGTGTTTCAATCCACAAACCATGCCTAATCATAACTATAGTTTATGTGGCCGAAACTATCAGCCATTAACGGAACAGCCTTTTGTTATAAGTTGCGTTAAACGTGTCTATCCAGAAGCAAACGAGAGTGGCAGCCAAAAACCAGCCAATATTCCTGATACCAGTTGTCCAGGAGTGACGATTCTTTGGGTGATGTACATCAGAAAGAAAAACCGATTTAGTTTAGACGTGTCCGACCTCGAAATGGTATCTCTTTCTGGGAACAGACCTAGTGTACAGATCATCAGACGGCTGTCACTGAAGCTTAAAACCCCAGAATACTCGTACGACATTCTGCTCTGGGAAAATATGGTCAAAAACCGCCAAATGAATTCTTTAGGAGTCGCATGTGGTAACCTGGACCCTTTAATTTGCATATTTGTAAATTTACAGACTGCACACGAAGCTTTATGAAAGCTATCATTAAACACTGGATACCGCATGCCACTGCCATAACCGAGACCTAAATTATCGCATTTCCGACTAGTTCCAGAATGTCGATTGATAAGTATTTTTGCAAATAGTTTGGCATAAGTCCCAAAACATGACCACTATTTACTGACCAGTTTAGGGTACAGTATTGAATTTGGCTCTTTCATTTAGAGCAGGTTAGCAAAGTTCTCACACCATACTTGACAAGTTATGTACAGCTTGTATTCAAAGTAAATTATTATAAGACTCAGTGGGGAAATGTCACGGTATTCTGACAAATATTTATCGTTCACCGTGGAGCACGCCTTCAACTACAATTGGTTATTAATGTATCAGGTTTATTTTCCTGCAGCCTCATACTGCGATTGGCTGAACTGTTGACTCCCCAAAGTCCACTAAACAGAGACCATGTGACATAATAACCTGTTGTTGCACCAAAAGAATAATTGTCCTTGACTCAGGAGTGTTACAGTGTTGAATAGATAACGAGACAGAAGGTTGAGCAGTGGTGCAAAATGTTTTGAGTATGAATCTTCCTTAGGCTTCGGCAGACATTTCCCGATAGTTGTCAGTAACAGTGGAACGGCCGTAAGGGGCTCCTCAACTTCTTGACTATAATGGGTCTTGGTGTAAAAGCTGTTTCGTCTAGCTGAATGTGCATAAAGTATTCATGTAGTTGTGTATACTACAATTTTGTTAAACTAAGGAATGGGATTTTGCACGCTTTGCATTATAACGTTGGCCAGAAGCACCCAGATTATATCGGCGTAGCATATGATCTGAGTACAGTTTATAGATGACTGTTTCTACTGCACCTTCATCCATGCAATAACAACCTCTCAGTTGCTTGTTTAACCACATTGAATTCACTCCCCAAACGGATGATAGAGATCATCTTCAGTGCTGACATCCAAACAACTGACATTCTGACAGCAGTTGATGAATGTATACGCTGACAAGTCACGTACCGTTGGCTTGGGTCTATCTAAAGCACGGGGCTGGTGAAACATATGAACATAAAAACTGACTAAAAAAAGCTCTCCTAAATGGGTTCAAACCAGGTACTGTTGAACAAATAACAGTTTAGAAACTGCAAGTAGATGCATTCCACCTGTCTAATGCACAAAGACCTCACACTGTAAAACACTTCCGACGAACTGAAACTATCCAGTGACGAATATATGACCAAAAGACATTCGGCTTTAAACGCCTCAAAAATTCACGGTTGTGTTTGCGCAGCTTATCACAGAAACCATGCCGAAATAAGATTTGTCCTGAAGTTAACTTCTAAAATTTAGTCCTACCATTTATAAACAAGACACTTTGTCCTTAGATACCTGTACGCAACGCTATGCAAGTACGCAAGGTTGAATTACCCACCCGGCCTCGTACTGATGACGTCCCCTACCCAAGCTTATTGTAAAGTGTCAGCAAACAAATTGTCAGGCTCAGTAAACAGATCAACAACCACTTCGCTACATAGCCGCAACCATCGCCGTAGAAAAGTGCCTTAGGTGGATGCTTATTTTTTATTTGTCATGAACGTTTTCAGCCAGCATACAAGGCTAATTGCACAACTCCCACTCCCTTAGCACGGGACGAAAAGCTCAATAGACACAATGACACACGACATCTTACATGGCTGTTCCCCTTGAAAAGGTTCTGGCAGCGAACCGAAATGTGAATTACACCAGCGTACCTAATCCCCTGGCTAACTACTGATTGCGTACGGCTCAGAACGTGAACATAAAAGAGGCCTTTACGAGGTTTTCATCAATCTTGGGGTGAGTTTGGTAGTTTTCCATGAATTGCAAAAAGCAAAAATAAAAACAGCAGTTCCCAAACCAACCTGTAGTGTTGCGTTCACCAGTTTTCGCTACCACAAGACAACTTTTTTCTAATATTAACCGATAAAGTCAATTGCACTTTGATGATCAAGTTTTATTTTTGCCATGAAAATCGGCAGAAACGCAAAACGTGCATGGGCTTTTCCGCTCAAACAACATTACGTTGATAAACAATGCAACAAGGACCAGCCATTCAATAAGAAACTGTTATTCCCGGAAAACAGAATTTTCCACTATCACTCAACCACAAGGGCAAAATAAAATTTGCCACACCCGAGGAAGTTCTTGCAATTAGATCACACAGAATAATTGCATTTCCTGAAAGCCGTCCTACAAAATAACACCTTTATCAGTACGCATTACCGGCGTAGTTATATCTGATGACTTCCAGGAAGCATTTTATCAGCACTGCAGATTTGGTCGGGGCCTTCAAACTGTACACGAGCATTGGCTGAAGAGCCTTTAATTACATGTACAGGTAGATAATCTGTTGTTTATATTGTCGAATGCATCTTAATCATTCTTAGATAACGGACCATGTAACACGAGTATACTGTCATTAAACTTGTATGCATTTCTACACGACTGGTCCACGCGTTTGTCTTCCAGGACTGTGAGTCGTGACGTAAAAACTTTGAAAATTTACCTGTCAGGTGCAGAGATAGTACCACTGTAGGCGTTTATGCTTGCGCCCATAAAATTAAGTTTAAAAAACAACGCTTACCTCCGATTACTCCCTCTTTGTAATGCCACCAGGTATCCCAGGCCGCATTCCAGGAGGTCTCGTGCCAGGAGGTGCCAATGGAATTGCAGAATACACCTGCAAAAAAATGGTAAACGTCACTGAACACACGATCCGCTGCTCAATAAAACACGAGCAGTGAAGTAAAAGTACTCGTGCATCTGCAATTCAAACTCAACCATAATTAGACTAACAGGACAAGCCATCTAAAACTAGCCGAATCGTATGCCCAAGCTGGTTGTTATTCTTGAAAGGAAAAGTCTGATAATTCAAACGCTACTTAATGATTTAGCCGTCATGATGACAAGTACAACGTTTCACCTACTCAAATCTAGAGGCTGCTTGCCTAAGGTAACCGGGTGATCCTGCCATCCACACTATAGACAAGTGTCATTCAAGGCTCAACCTAGGCACACTACTTAGCGTGACACCCGTTGTACAACTGACATCCAAGCAACAGCCATAGATCCGTTGCTCCTTTTTATGAAACACTGTTCTTATCTATTTGACTCTAGATCAGTTTAATACCAATTTCCCAAAGAATTATTTCTATTATTAATATTTAGGATACGTTGTTAGGAAGAAAACCACTTAAAAAAGTTCTTCACTAGTAACTAACCGGCTGAACCCAGGTCGTTTTAATTCTAGTTTTAAGGATGATTAACGAGAACAAACTGTGGGATTTAGAACTTGATATACCTGCCTGGTGTCCTTATTAGCTTAAGAAAATAAATTTTATGTCAAAGTTTCCACAGGAATGTTTCGAACGCCAACTCTGAGTTAGTTTGCCATATGTCACAATCAATCTGGTTTTCACTGGAGACTCAACTGAATCTCTCGTTTATGATATTCTGCAACTGAATGTGCTGCACACAGGCCACCTCATGATTCAGTTGGCACGATATTCGAGCTATCGCAGTATATTTTCAAAAAGCTACTACTCACAAGGCTGCTGAAATCTCTTCGACAGCCAAGGAACGGTTTCGGCTGAGACGGCCTGTGCGCAGCACATTCAGTTGTAAAATATCGTAAACGACAGATTCAGTTGAGTATCTGGTGGAAACCGAATTGACTTGCAAATGAATGTATTTCTCGAAAACAGTCCAATTTGAGTTTAAGTAGAACATAAGGTTGACGGAAACTCGGGGACTGCGCCTGCGTGATGAGCCCCGAGAAGGGTGAAACCGGTCGTGGGCTGTCGAAGGAGTTTTCAGAAACCTTGTGAGTAGTTTCCTTTATGAGATCCATCTTTCTTAACCCATACGTTATTAGATGGCGGATCAAACAGTTTCATCTGGTTCAGTAACAAGACTACCTCTTTTTAAACACGTTTATGTAAACACGGAAATATTTTATCCATTTACGGGATTCAGCATGGCTAGTGCGTACCACGCCCAAATCGTTATGTGCAGGCATTATCCGATTCCACCATATCACTATGAGGGCAGAATAATTCCCCGATTTTTATCTTAAGATCTATACATTCATTGTTGAGTTGATTACATTCATTATTCGGATAAATTTACGAGTTTTTGACAAGCCTTCAGGCCATGCACTGTAAATTCTTGCAGAACGTTGAGGTGCTCGATTAAAGAAGTTGCTTACTGCCTGCTACAGATGTATACTTCCCTATCCGGCCGTTCTACGAGTTCTGTTAAATCCCCTGACTGCATGGATTTATTCTCGCCAACGGTCAGTTAGATAAAATGCTAATCTCCAACACAAGTAAAGCCCGCTGGTGCATAATGTTAGTTCCCGACTTGTCAATCCGAAAGCGGATATACCTCATCGCTAAATCAACATCCGTCAACGTACTGCCTGAGGAAACAATTTGTTTGCTCTGACAATACGCAACAGGTTCTGCAAAAAAACAACCAAAACGTTCTCCTAGTTTTCTGACAACCTTTGGCCAATAATCACACACTCATGGCAATGGCCATTTCTGCCTGGATTGTCGTTGTGAGTCAACGGCATATCTGGAATTTATTCGCTTCATCTGTACCTGTTTGAGGCTGAGAAAAATTGATTGTATTTTTTGCGTCCCAAGAACTAACCGCTGCATGCATCAATGCGCTCTTTTATTGTCACAGAAGGCCTGTCAAAGAAGGTCTGAACCGATATCTGTAACCGTCTTAGCAACAAAAGTCTAGCTGTTTTGTGAGAGTCAGACGTTTGTGAACTACCTATATGGGTAATCTATACGTCCAATGGAATGATGGTGATTTAACGTGCTTGTTCCACACCGTTTTAAAAGAGTAAAATAACATATTCTAAAACACGTCATACAATGTTACTGTACATAATCCAATTATGTTTTTTCTGGCTGCAGGCTGACAATCGGAACTTTCGAACAAAATAAGGCGCCCGTATCTCGACAAAGAGATGAACCGAAGTTGATTGGTAAATTGCAGTCTCTAAACTTATATTAACGCAAAACGTTGATCGGATCCAGAGATGTCGTTGTTCATCTGTATTCATTATGATGCGGACAGGTGCACCACCTTCCCGGAGGCGAAAATGGTTGTGATAAAGACTCGAACATCAATTCAAACCAGATTTCTACTCCCGAAAGGCGACATGAAAATGGCAGATGTGCCTGACCTAACCATAACTGGTATGCACAACATGCATTTAAGGCGAACTTCTGAAAAGTTAGTTTTTTTTAACTCAGCTATAAATATGGAGAAGGCCCTGCTGCCCTACTGAAAGCCAGCAATAGTCTTAAGATAATTCAGTTTAGGAATCCACATGTCAATGCCTAACTACCCGAACCCTGTTACTGTCCACCTATTTAATGCTTTGTTTGTTCCATTGCGGTACACTATATGCTAAAGGCCATTATAAGCACCGGTGAGCTAGAGGACAAATGCCAGACAACTCTCGGCTGCACAATACTGCAGAGAGCAACATAAGGGTTTTTCAATGTAATTCACACTGGTCATCAATACGATACTTAAAAGGTCTTCCAGTTCAATTCTCCAGCTGTTCAGATGTTCTCCACTGGCTTGTGCCTGGCGAAAGTTTGTGGAGAAGACAGTCTAACCATAAAACCTTCAGAAAACTTTAGTGAAACTCTACCTGCTATCGCCAGTTAGATACATGTGAAGTTGTTGAGCTAAACATTCAAGCTAAGTTTTAGGCTGGCAGCCGCAAAAGCGCATCAAAAATTTATTTATCAGGATACGGGGGGAGGAGTATATGTATGGCGATTTACTAGGGAGGAAAATTCTGCGGGAGGATCCTATCCTAGTATTTATGCTGACTGGATGTTTCCAAACTACCTTGAAAACAAATGAGTGGCAAATATCTAAGTATTTGAGTTACGTTACTGTAAGGTCCAATCAGTGACAGCCCATCAGGAACGGACCTTGTAAGGTGGTTCATTTGCACCTAGCTAGCAGATACACCACGATGCCAGCTAATTGGGTAGTGACTGTTGGAAACACTACTGATATCATAGTGTTTGCAAAATGACGAACTCAGCACCCTTCCTCTTTCGAAGTTAATTCAGTGGTGGTTAAGCACCTTTGAATCGACTCCTACCAGCAGGCATACCCAGTGAAATGGATTGCTTTAACATGTTTTGTTTGGTGATGCGACACGCACAAGCCAAGTATGGGCAACCCAGATCTACGATAGGTTCAATACCTAACTCTCGGAATGAGCACAAAACCGTGTGTTCTTACCATACCGTAAACATTTTTCAACCTCTCTTTTTTTGTGCAGAAGCAGGCGGAGACAAAACAATCATCGTATATGATCCAGTAAATCCCGTAGTATGAAAACCATAATTAACTGCCAGCTGTGACACGCAACAACTTCCGAAAAAGCGTAGTCTTTCGAAGTAGTAAGCAGATGTATTCCAGATGCCTTGCGTCCGTGACAGCTCTTAACTTCATCCTCGCAGGCTCTTGACAAATATCTTACTCGCCCGACTAAAAGAGTCATAAGGTAAAAATGCCATAGCCTGTTTATGAGCTCGTTGCAGAAGCATGCTTTTAACCTTCTGAATTCGCAATACGCTTTTAGAGTCAGTCTCTTAGGCTACCATCGACACGCTGTTCCGATAACCGAGCGCTTCCCGTTGAGTTCGTGTTTCCATCAAGTATGTAAAAGGTGACTTCCAACTGTACACCGTGTACCAACCGTTTGCATGCGTCAAACTACTTTGTTTCAGTGCATACATCTTAGGTAGATAGTTTTCCATACAGGCCACATATTGCTGTCTGCTTAAGCCCAATATGTTTATCATTTAAATACGTGTTCTTCCTTAAGACCCTCTCTCTGACATTGTGCGCCCTCTCTGGCGACATCAAAGAATTTTGTGGCAAAACAGTTTACATTGAAATACCAGTTGCCTAGGTAGAGGAACGCGTTATTGGGGGTTACTCATACTATTAGCCACCATATTTGTGATGAGATATTCCAATATTTGAAGCATAGCCAATTCTCCAGTATGCCTCATTGATAACTAAACTAGATATATTATTGTGTGTGGATCAAACTTCTAAAACTCGGTCCCTTACCATTCTCCTTTCCGTGACTAGGTCTTTTTGAGAGAGTTGGAAATTACATCACCTGAGATTCGGTTAGTTGCTTGTTTTGTACTCTCTCCATTGTAACCGTAATTCAATCAAGTCGTTCCAAGAACGCAGTCTATCTGTCGTGTCAATAATGTTGCCTATCGACTCCTTTTCATATTGATATGTAAAAAATCTCAATTGCGTTTCAGAGTGTTGTCAGTAACGTAACTAGATTACTCGGCGTCTGCCTTCAGAATAAAATGTCAGGCAAAGCCCAAATGTCGAGCAACCCGAAATCTACCCCGATTTCCAGGCTAACTGACACTAGTCACTTTATATCCTGCCTACTTTAGTACATTCACTGTATTTACTTTCACGTTCAAATGTTTACTGATATTGTTATTGCAATAATTCTGGTCTCACGTGTATTCGCTACATTTAAAACCAAAGTGGTTTCCCATTAACAGTTTGTAAGCTGCCGTCCACTGAGGTAAAACAGACTTCTTAGCATTAACTCACTTCTAGACAAATGACCTGCTGTTTACCGAATATAAT